AAAGCTAAAGGAGTTCATCACCACCAGACCAGCACTACAGGAAATGTTGAAGGGTCTTCTTTAAGAAGAAGCTGATGAACAAAAGCATCTGATGAACTAAATAGATCCAGAGACATTGACACATACAACAGATGATCATATTTCAGAGGGAAGGAGGGTGGGAAGAGATTAACCAAAGAAGTTATAAGCAGGTATGCATAACCCATGGACACAGTCAATAACGGGGTGAAGGCCTGGGGAGGGGGTGGGAGCGAGGTGGAAGGGGTCAATTTGGGGGAAAAATGGAACACCTGGAATACTCTCAACAATAAAGATAAATTTAAAAAAAAATTGTGGTATAGCCCTGGCCAGTGTGGCTCAGTTGGTTGGAGCGTTGTCCCGTACACCAAACAGTTGAGGATTTGATCCCCATTGGGGCGCATACGGGAGGCAACCGATCTTTGTTTCTCTCTCCCATTGATATCTGTCTACCTACTTACCTCTCTCTCTCTACCTCTGTCTCTCTCTCTTTCACCCTTCCTCTGTCTAAAATCAATTAAAAAGTTGTGGCATATTTATAGAATAGAATACTGTTGAGCCATAGAAAGGAATGAAGTACTGATACATGATACAAAGTGGATGAGGCCCCAAAGCATTATGCTACGTGAAATCAGTCAAATACGGAAGATCTCATATTGCATGAATCCATTTATAGGAAATGTTCAAATGGGCGGATCCATAGAGACAGCACACAGATTGGTGTGGAGGGTGCAAGTTTTGTTTTGAATTGAGGGAAACATAAGGGAGCCAGATGGAGGTGGCGTTTGCACAACGTGTGACCAATACTAAATGCCACTGGTTGTTCACTTTAAAATGGTTTATGTATGAATTTGACCTCAATAATTTTCTTAATTCAAGCATCTCAGTGTATATTTTGTATTTTAAAAAGGAAATGATGAGAGAGAAAATGCAGTTGCCAACAGCTGGAGGCTTTAGAAACAAACTGGTCCCGGAGGACACACCACCTGGTCTCAGGTGGACAGCGAGGCCCCTGCCTGAGACAGCTCCTTCCCAGCAGGTCACGGACAGGCCTGGAATTGGAAGTCCACATCAGAGAGGCGTGCCGTGGCGGGGGGCTGGGGCGGGGCTGTGCAGGGTGGAAGAGACCCTCCAGGGCAGAGGCAGTGCGCCCTGATTGCTGGTGGCTGCTGGTTTTGCTCTGACATTGGGGCTGCGCCCAGACCCGAGCAGGATGCCCGAATAACCGTGCTGAGGGGATGGAGGGGGCCTGGCGGGGCAGGTGGACGAATGTATGAGCTCATTCTCATCAAAGTGCGTGGCCCACTGTGCTGGCGTTTCAGCTTCCGGTAAATCACAGACGGGCCTGTTTCGTGATCTTTGTAGACTTACGTTCTCCTGAGAGCAGCTCTACCTTCGCAGAGAGACGTTACTCAGAGGTCTTACAAATAACAAAACACATGTTCTTTGCAGAGATGAGCACAGTCTGGTAGCCACGGTCGCGGGTTCCTAGTGATACTGGGTTACGTAGTGTCCCCCCAAATTCATACCTGCCTTGAACTGAAGACCATTCCTGTCTGGAAATAGGGTCTATGCAGATGTGCCTAGTTAAGGAGGGGGCCCACTGAATTAGGGCGGGCCTTAAACCCAATGGTTGGGGTCCTCAAAAGAAGAGGAGAGAACTCAGACACCGAGAAGAGGGTGGAGGAGAGACTGGAGTGATGCTGAACCAAAACATGGCCCTGCTGGCACCTCGATTTTGGACATATAGCTTCCAGGGCTGTGAGGATAAATAATAAAGGGGTTTTTTTAATTGATTTTTAGAGAGAGAGGAAGGGAGAGGGAAAGAGAGAGAGAGAAACATCAGTGTGAGAGAGAAACTTTGATCGGCTGCCTCCCCTGCACACGCTCACCGGGGATCAAACACACAGCCCGGCCATGGGCCCTGACCGGGAATCAAACCGGCAACCTTTTGGTGCTCAGAGCGATGCCCAACCAGCTGAGCCACACCAGCCGCAGCAGTAAGAGGGGCTTTAAGCCGCCAGGTCTGTGGCGGTTTGTCACGGCAGCCCTGGGAACCCGGCCCACTGCTCCGGCCCCGTCGACGGCAGCTGCCTGTCCCTCTGCACAGGGACCTGCCTCCAAGTGCAGCAAGCTCGACTCTCACTGCACTTGATTTGCAAAGTGATCCATGTTGGAGTGGGGATGGCAGTGCCCCTGCAGAGGGGACCCAGGGGACCGTGTTCCGCCTGCAGAGAGGGAGCATCTGATTCTCTGCTGCTCCCCTCGGGGCCGGACATCCTCTCGGTCCTGGGGTGGCTGTGGGAAAGGGAAATCTGTCACAGGTAAAATACGGCTTTGTGCTCCCACACGTCCACGTAGAGTGTCCGCGCCCTCTGCTGCTGTGGTCGTTGGGAGTTCCCGGGTGAGTTAGGATCACCCTCCCTGTAGAGCCTTTGTTTCAAGCTAACCTCCATTATCTGGGGGACACTACAAAACCTCTACTCAATGAGTGAAATCTTTGTGACAATTCAAAACCAGCTTGTCTTAAAGCTAGGAAGGTGGGTCGTGAATAAGTGATTGCTCAGAACATCCGGAGAGCCTGTCCTCAACTTCGTGCCAAAAGCAATGCCATCCTGTGGGCCAGGCCTCCAGCAGGACTCCAGGGCGAGCCACCACCCAGCGGCATCTTTCTGCGGGAGGGAGCAGGGCGGTTGTCTCTGTAGTGTCCTCAGCTTTAAGGAGACTTTAAAGCCGCCTGTAAATGTCCTGCGGCTGCCATCAGGCTGTTTCTAACATGAGGACAGCATGTTGACCAGTTGTCCTGAGGACAGACGCTGCACTCGGTCTTTATTTTCTTTGCTTTAATTTTCTCTGTCTTAACATTTTTTCTACAATGGGCATATCTTTAATAAGAAAATCATCTGCTTCTGTTTGGCAGAGGTCTGGCTGGAGCTGGGACAGCCATGGGGTGGGGCTGCAGGTCGGGCGGCCTGTGGCTGCGTCCGGCGGGGCTTCCCTTCCCGCCTTTCGCTCACCTTCCCGGGACCCTGGGCTCTGGCGGGAACATCCCCCTGCTTCCCAAGACAGCTGAGCGTGAGGAGAGGGCGCCGTGGGAGCCGGGGCATCTGGGGGACATGGCTCGCGCAGCACCTGTGGATTCATCTTTGGTTGTGATTTCAGAGCCTCACAGCAGTGCCCTGCGCCAGCCTCTCACTTGACGACTCCCAGCTGCTGCTGCGGCCAGCCCGTCGCCTGCCCAGCCTGTCCCCTGCCCAGGCCTGTCACCGTGCGCCTCTCAGCAGGTAGGGAAGTCGCGAGTCCAGGCTAAGAGCCGCTCTCTGGAGAGCAGGTGTCTTTCCAGCAGTGACCTGTGGGCCTGGGGTGGGGCCAGCGTCAGGACCCTGCACCTGTAGCCAGGTGCTCCCACATCACTTTCTTCTGGCAGTTGTCATTGTCCTCCCCCCCAGCTCCCCTCCATAACAGATGGGGGCCCTTATGAAGCCAGTTTCACAAATTACCCACCGCCTCACACGTCCCTGTGTGAGTGGATGTGCCCCTGCTGGCCAGCAGTGGGAGGGGAACCAAGCCACCTGGGGGGGGGGGCGCAGCGAAGGGCCTCGGCTGGAAACCGGGCTCTGTGCCCCCTGAAGAGAACAGCTAGCCAGCACCCACCCTCCCTGCCGTCTAGGCTGCTTGGTCCCTTCGGGGAGGGGAGCCTGTGCTCACTGGCAGCAGCTGCCCCTCAGGCATCTCCCAGGGAGACGGGCGGCCACTCTACCAGATGAGCCTCATCAGCAGCTCAATTCCCGACACTGTCCCCGGCCACATCAGCTCAGCCCTGGGGCAGCCCCCCTGCAGGCCACCTGACTGTTTACTGAGTCGTGCCCAAGGCGCAGCCTCAGAACCCCCGGGGACCCGTCTGTGTGGGGTGTGAGGAGAAGGAGNGACACTGTCCCCGGCCACATCAGCTCAGCCCTGGGGCAGCCCCCCTGCAGGCCACCTGACTGTTTACTGAGTCGTGCCCAAGGCGCAGCCTCAGAACCCCCGGGGACCCGTCTGTGGGGTGTGAGGAGAAGGAACTGTCAACCACAGTGGTGGCAGAGCCCGTCCCCAAGCAGTCAGCTCGTCTCTCTTCTGCCTCGGCTTCTAAAACCCGTGAGTCAGGTCAGTGGTCCTGCGGCAGCCAGGGTGCAGGGTCAGCTCCGTTCCATCTCCTCTTGGTCCCCACTTCCATCTTCCTCTTGGGTCAAGAGGGGTATAGATATCACATGCACATATGGAGAAAGACATTCATCAGTTCACAGAGGCGTGTGGCATCTGGATGGCCTCAGAGGACAGGGGGTTATCCATGTGGAACTAAGGTGCCTGGCCAGGTGGTCAGGGGCTCAGGAACTTCCCCAGGGGCCACATCTTGAGCTCCAGTTGGCAAATCCATGTCCTCCTGCCTCACCAGCTATCTCACTGGGTGACCCTGCCTACCCCAGGGGACAGGGGGCGTCCCTGCCACCTCCCCAGTCGAGCAAGGTTGGCCTCACTGGGAGAGGGGCTGTCCCGGGAGAGCAGGGTGGACCGAGTGTGGCGGTAACCTCCTGCGCTGGCCCGAAGACCCTGCTGGGCGAGGGGGGTGACCAGGTGGGGAGCAGCTCCAGGGAAAAGCTTCCACTCGAGAGCTTGGTGGACTTCAGCTACTCAGCCTCCCTGAGCCTGTTTCCAGACATGAACAGTAAGGGGATTGGGCCTGGACCTCCGAGTTCCCATCCGGTTGTAACATGGGAGACTCGGAGCCCAGCTGCTCAGAGTGTGGGCTGTGGACCAGCAACAACAGGGCCAGTTAAAAATGCAGACTTGGGACCAGACCAAGCCCTCTCGACCGGGACTGGCATGTCATCAGGGTCCCCAGGGGTTCATCAGGGCCCCCGGAAAATTCAAACAGGCCTGATTTTACACGTCTCGCAGGTACCTGAGACGCCTTGTGAGGTGATTTCGTGACAGGATGGGACAGGAAAGTGGAAACATCCTAGCCACAGGGTCTCCCCCTCTGGTACCTGCCAGAGCCACCGAGAGGCTGAATTACAGGTGCCAGGTCTGTGGTCACAGGCTGGGTCCCAGCTTGTGTGCCATGATAAACCTATGTGGAGAGAGAGTGTGAACACATTTGAGAAACCTGCCACGTGGAGAGAGCGTGAACATGCACAGGGCACAGTGTCGGCCAGAGTGACGTCTGTAAGTGGGGTCTGTGCTGAGGGCAGCAAGCAGAGGGGTGGGGGGGGGCAGGCCTTGCCGCTCTACTGGGAACCTGCCCCCGTTGATGTTCCCTCCCCACGGTTAGTAACTTAGGAGCCGGGTCAGGGGCTCTCTGGGTGGCGCGCGGGTATGCAGGTGCCGGAAACAGCTTCTCTCCAACAGGCACAGGGCGGAGACGGGGTGGGGTCAGGGCCCGCCGGCGCCCTTGGGCCTGGCTCTGGCGAGGCTGTTCCCGCTGGCGACATTTCCTCACACGCGCACACTCTGACGGTCACTCTCTCACCTGCATTCCCTCGCTCGCCCTCGCACGTGGCCATGCGCACCCCCACCTTCTCTCGCAGGGACGCCCGGCAGGGACGCCCGTACACCCCACTGGCCACACTCCCACGCCCTCCCGCTCGTGCACATTCATGTCTGCACTCCCGTGCTGTCAGCCCCCTTCTCACACACGCTCGCACCCCACACCCTCACATAGTGCGGAGCCCCCCGCCCCCCGCCCTTCCCGGGGCCTGTCTGTCCTTCACTCCTGGTCGGGGCTCAGCTTCCTTCCCAGCCATCCCGGTGGCCTCTGACTCCCCAGCGCCTGAAAGCCTGAGTCAGTGATGGGGGAAGAGAAGGGCTGGTGCTGGACTGGGGGGGAGGACCGTGATCTGAGGCAGTGATTTTAGCCCTAAAAAAGGGGAGGGCTGAGAACGAGATTGTGTCTCCATCCTTTTGCGTGGACACACGGGGTCTCAGACACACAACACATATCCGCAGAGGACAGCCCCATAGGCACGTGGACACAGGGACACACAGACCTGGACACATAAGCACATTTCTGTTTAGTGGGGGGTGGGTTGGTGGCTGCTCCCCTGGATTTCAAACCCCCAACTCCTCAGGATTCTCCTCTTCTTGTTGAGTAAAAGTCCCAGCCAGGACGGGAAACACACTAGTTAAGCTCTGACTTAGGTGGCTGATCTGTGTCTTATAATAATAAACTTTTATGTTTTTAAAAATTGCCTATGGACAGATGAAGCTGCCATCAAGCCTTCCCTGGGCCAGATAGTTGGCAAGTGGGGAACAAGCCCACAGTATGCGGCCTGCACACCAAGACACTGCCCGAGGCTCCGCACACCTCCCTGTGCACCATCGGAGGTCACTGTCACCTATGTGACCATCCCCAGCTCCCAGGCCAGGATGGCTAGGCCTCCTCTGAGCACTTGCCCATTAGACGGGCATGTGCCTTCTTGTGGAACAGTTAGCGTTAGTCATGGGGCATCATTACATTCTTGTCGAGTTCTTCCCTCTCCTAAAGAAGCAGATCTGTGTGTGTGTGTGTATCTGTGTGTGCAGGGTGTGTGTGCGTGTGCTTGTGCATGTGTGTGCTTGTGTGTGGAAGTGAGTGTGTGCATGTGCTTGTGTGGAGGTGTGTGTGCATATGCTTGTGTGTGCACGCATGTGTGTGCATGCATTTGTGTGCATGTGCTTTTATATGTGTGAATGTGTGTGTGTGCGCACGTGTGTGTGCACGTGTGTGTGTGTGTGTGTGAATGCACACATGTTGTAGTTAAAAAACAAACTCCCAACATAAAGCCTGTAAGCTTTTGGAATGATAGAAAATTTTAAATTAGTAATAAAGCACTTTCGTTCATGGAAAACGTGTGTTCAGAGCTATAGATCGCTGGTGAGGCCACGTGAGACTGTGGGCAGGACCTGAGCTTGGCTTCCAGGCTGTGAGTTTGGATTCTGGGTCCACAAATTTTGGCTTAATTTCTTTGAGTTTTGCATTTTCTTTACTGATAAAACGTAATATGTTTTGCCAGCTTCGTGGGTTGCTAAAGGAGTGAACGACTTATCAGTAAGAAATCACATACAAACGAGAAGGCAGTACTTACAGTCATGGGGGCAGCTAAGTGACAGGGACCGTCACAGACAGGCTGAGACTCTTTCCAAACAAACGCATGGTCACTGCAGTGGGTCACTCCTTTTCTCACCCAGCACCGTGTCTCCCAGCCACTCCAGCCGGGCGCGCAGCGGGTGGCGGATGGGGACGCCCAGGAGGCTGTCTGGCCTTTGGGAAAGCGGCACCTGCAGCCCTTTCTGTTCGGCTTTCAGGGCTGCGGGATGAAGGAGGGCATGTCCAGCAACAGCACCACCAGCATCTCGCAGGCCCGCAAGGCCGTGGAGCAGCTCAAGATGGAAGCCTGCATGGACAGGGTGAAGGTAGGCACCCG